TATTACATTTATTACTCTTTAATAATTCTTTGTCACACCAGAGAGCAAAGACCTACAGATGTGGGACCTTGGGCCCCATCCCCAGACCCCCGCCCACGATGGAGTTCTCTTGAGAAGGTGTCAGTCGGTGGGGTTTGGCACCCTGAGATTGCCCGTGGGCTGGGTCCTGGAGTCCCCACTGCTGAGCAGCAGGTAAAAAGAGCTCTGAAAACTGAGAGCAGAGGTAGGTGGCCCTGTCTCAGCATCACGGTGGGGGTGCTCGTCGACCTTACACTCAACATGCAACAGTACTCAAGATCTCTCCCTCACCCCGCACGAAGGGACTCTGATGAAGAGGGGTAGGTCCACAGCCAAGTGGACCACTGTGATATTGTGAAAATATAGAACTGGTCTTCATCTCCGTCTCCTGACCTACAACTCCTAAAATCCTTAGAATCTCCAAAGTGATGAGTCTTTTTGTATGCTAATGTGGCTAGCAGCCTTGGTAGCTTCAGGAAGGGGGCTGGTCATAGCAAAGACTGAGGCAGGACTTTTAGTCCCACCCCCCAACCTCAGGGAAGGGAGAGAGGGGCTGGAGGTTAATTTGATCACCAGTAGCCAGTGATTTAATCAATCATGACTATGTAATAAAGCCTCCATAAAAACCCAAGAGGCCTGGGTTCAGAGAGCTTCTGAAAAGCAAACACGCGGGGGTCTTCCCCTCTACTTGCTGGGAGGGTGGCACACCCCACCTCCACGGGGACAGAAGCTCCTGTGCTCGGGACCCTTCCAGACCTCACCCTATGTATCTCTTCACTGGCTGTTTACTTGTATCCTTTAAAATATTCTTTGTAACAAATGGGTAAATGTAAGTAAGTATTTCCCTGAGTTCTGTGAGCCTCTCAGCAAATTAATCAAACCCAAGGAGAGGGCTGTGGAAACCGTGGTTGGTCAGAAGTTCTAGAGGCCTGGACTTGTAAGTAGCATCTAGGCAGTCCTGGGGACTGAGCCCTCACTCTGTGCAATCTGACGCTACCTCCACGTAGATAGTGTCAGAACTGAATTGGAGGACACCCTGTTGGCATCCACTGAAGAATTGCTGGCCTGCTTGCCAGTGGGGAGAAATCCCCACACACCTGTCACAGAAGTTGGTCTTCTGTGCTGTTGATTGTTGTTAAGTAGGAGCATAAGAAAAACACTTAGTGTTTTTTCTATACACTCTCACAACTACCATGAGGTCTGTAAGTGGGGGGGTGGGTCCTCTACGCTCCCTAAGCCCCAGTGTAAACACTACGAGGGCTGAGCAGGCACCATAGATGGCCAAGGAGAAAGCAGGATGCTCAGGTCTAACTTTAAAGATAAAGAAGAGGTCTTGGAGGCTCCCATGTGGTTCAATCCGGCACACCAGCAAAGGAGCCCAGACACAAGCTCAGCCACAATGTCTTTGCTAGAGCTGGGTATGCATTTTCCTGGCATGCCCTCCTTACCATAGTGTGATAACTCTGCCAGGAGGCCCAAGGATGTCATTCCACAGAAAGCTGCTAGCTACAACAGCCTGAGGCATCTTCTTCACTATGTATTAAAGCCCTGGATTGGTGCCAGTTTTCTAGAACATACACCCATACAATTAAGAAGCACACCAATGGGACAATATGATTCACTCTGCAAAAAATCTGAACAAACTAGTCCCTTCCAGTTCCCGTTATAGCCTTCCACGAAGAGAGGCACATGTTTTGTGGTTGAGGAAAAGAATGCACATCACCAGTTCTTACTTGCAGGGGCTTATCCGTGAATTTGTAAAGTGATTGAATCCCTTCTGAAAGATATACTGAACTACGGAGATGGAAGCAAAACTTATGCCTCATCTGTCTACAATGTCCATACTGTAAAGTCTGAAACAAGGAACTCAAGGGGTTTGACAACATAAGATTGTGAAAATTTCACAGGTTAATTTTGTTGAAAACCCAGTCCTTTAAAAAAGTACGTAATTCCATAAAGGAAAAGACTGATAATTCTCACACACTCTGGTGAAGTTTGACAATTTCAGATTTTAAATGCATATCCCCTTTGATTTGGCAATTTCATTTATAGAGAAGCATCCTAAAGAAATAATCTTGGATGTGTAAAAAGATTTATATACACAAAATATTCATCACAGCCTTGTTAATAATATATTTAAAAAATGGAACAACCTAAATATCCAAAATTGGTCATTAAATATATTACAGTTTAAGAACAGCTATTCACTGGAACAATATAATCTTTAAAAGTGGTTATTAAAAAAGGATTATATCAATCCATATTGATAACATTACTATATAGCTCCAAATATACAATATTATGTAGTATGATTATAACCATATCCATATATGTATATACGGAATGAAACTCCAACTAAAGTTTGGAGATTGGGGATCTAAAAGCACATAAAGTTATGATAGATACATAGATTATGTGTAGATAGAGATACACAGATATATATGCATACATATATCAAAATATTAACACTTATTTCTAGGTTTATAATAACTTTTATTTATGCCTTTTTTTCCTGAATTTTTTGCAATGATTGCTCTATATGCAAGGGAAAAAATACAACCATTTCAAAAAGACAGAATGCACATGTGGGCAAACACCCTTAAGCTGGTAGCATCTCTTTGGGTCACTGAGGAGTCACAAAGTAAGCAAAAAGGTCCAAAGTGCATCACTTAGAATTAGGGTAAGCCATATAATTTGTCATCCAAACCAGGACACTTTTCAGTCTGAAAGGGGAATCAATTAATAATTTTGCTGGGATGACCAGAGGAATCCAGGACTCCCTAAGCAAACTCAGACATTTGGTCAGCTACTTAGAATGAAAATGCTATTTACCCTGTCCCTGAAAATGACCCAGTGTTAGAGTGCTAGGGGGTAAACTGCAGACATAGAGACTGCCCTTGTATCAGCACAATTGGGTACAGTTTCTAAACATGCCAACCAGATGGTTAGAGAATCTTGACAAGTTCATCTTTCTCACCTAATTAGCTCATTCGGATAGATAGAGCCCTAATTTTAGAGATTTGTTCTTGATAAAAACTATTTCTCAAAGAGATATTCCACTTGACTAGTAACACACTGTATTATTACCCATGTTCTCTCACACTTGTAGATTTTAATCTTGGAAACACTGTGTAACTCTTTTAAACTCTTCTTGGTTCCAACTTCCCTGAGACTTACCTGTTTTCCACTTTGGGCTTTGTTTAGGGAACCATTATTCATGTGACCAAGGTTCTGACCTTGATGGCCACTGTTTCCATCCATCACCATGGGTCACTCTGTCCACCAGCTATTTATATCCTCCCAGCCCTCCCCGGCCCAGCTCAAGTTTCTCCTCCCTCCCAAGCCTTTGCCGCCCACCACGGCAACCTGCCCTGCTCAGCCTCCTGTGGCATTTGCACCTGCACATCAGATCAGTACCCTCGTAGGCTATCCTGTCCCTTAATTATTGATTGCACATACATCTCCCTCAGACTGACTAAGCTTCTCGTGAGAAGCAACTACTCTGTCTATAACATGTTTGGCACATGGCCAGGCAAAGTAAGTCTGTCCACCTCCCTTATTCCAATTATGAAATGAGAATTGTAATTCCTTTATATACTCCACCTCTAATTCAAACTGGGGTAGTTACTAGGCATTATAGACACAAATTTTTAATTAGCCAAATTCCCTTAATGCCAGGGTATTTGATAAGTGGAAAAAATCAAAGCCTTTGAACTGAAGCAACTGGCGAGGTCTTTCTCCCCTTAAAACACCAAGAGATGACACACACTAAAGATATGGAACAAAGTTAGAACAGAACAATGCTGATGAAGAGCAGCATCGCATGTGTTAAAGACGGGTGTGCAGGTACAGAGGATAAAAGTGTGCACAGGCTATGTGAGCACTTGTGATGCTGTCATTCCCATCTTACAGCATTTTACTTGTATTTTGATTTTCACCTTAGCGGGCCAACATCTCATCAGCCAATCAATTCTCCAACATCTGCCCCCATCCTTCTGAAAGTTCAGCACCAGCCATTACTCAGCATCGATCCCAACATAAGCAACACACGCTGCTAAATCAATCATGGGTTAATCTATAATTGAAATGACACTCTTTGCACCTCCCCTCTGCCAAATTTATTAAACTGATATACATGTCAATGTCCCCTTCTCCAAGCTAAGCTTATGGTGGCCTAAGCCCTAACTGAAGTGTGAACAACCGAAATTAGATACCAAGACCATTTTATGTATTCCATGACCCAAGGCACTGTATTTCTCACACATAAGAGATTTCTTGGGAAATCTGCGAACTCAGATATACTACTTATAACCTGCATCATTCTACAATACTAATGAACGATCACGCACATGGTCAGCAAGAGAGGGTGACTCCTATTGAAGCAAAAAATAAAAACTCCCAGGTGAACTGGTAACATATACAAAGAGTCACCAACAACACCATTCCTTCTGCTAGGAAATCAAGCACCTTAGCGAGCATTAGGAAAAGGTACACCTTCTTCAAGAAACTTTACTTCCATCTGTTAGAAAATAGTCTTTACATTACTGATTTTGTTAGAACAAGCCACTTTACTACCATCTTCCAGGAAAATTATCATAATAAATCTATGACGTCTGTGATGTGAATGGTGATCCCTTAGAAGTGGCTCAATTCTGCAGTGCACAACCTACACAGGTGTTTGAAAACTTTGGAATATAAGAAACCAGTGGAAGGGAGCCATGCTTTATTTTACTTCTCCTCTGAGCCTCAATTTCATCATCTATAATTTGGGAATAATAAGAGCTATCCAGCATCAGTGTCTTAGACTGATCAGCTTTCCCATTGGAGTAGGAAAGCAATGGTCTGTAAATGATTCAGACAATAGGAAAGAAAAGACCACATTACTTGATTATCAGATAATAACTATATCCCCAAGATAGAGAGTTCACATTCTCTTTGATTCTACAAATATCATTCATCCAATAACATAATTTGGGTCAGACCTTGCGTGTTTTTCCAGTAGCGATGATGGTCTCATCGCCCCTAACGCACTTTCATGCTGGATTTCCATGTGATTAAAGAAGCCCGCAGTGGCAAGATAGTTGAGAGTTAGGCATTCATTATCTGGAAATGAAAAAGAAAAAAGAAAAACTGAAATTAATCGGCCTATATCAGGGTTTCTCGAGCCTATCACTATCATTTGGGACCAGATAAATCTTTGTTGTGGGAGGCTGCCCTGTGCAGCTCACTATAGTATGTTTACCAGCATCCCTGGCTTCTACCCACTAGATGTCAGTGGTACCCCCACCCCCCAGTCATGACAACCAAAAATGTCTTCAGACCTTACCCGATGTTTTCCAGGAGGAAGGGGTAGCAGCATTGTCCACAGTTGATAAACACTGGCCTACACAGAAATTTAAACTCACGGGCTTAGCATCATTCTTGGGGAAGTAGCAAGCTGGCCTCCAACCAAAGGAGACCTGGACTTCAAGTTCTGCTATGACTGTTTTGTGACATTAAAAGTTCTAGTCTTCTACTTCCTTACAACTCGATACTGGGTTTGAAGGATTCCAGAGTCACACTTAGGTCATCCCAAACAGCTCCCTGTTCTGGACACTGCCTGGCCTGGCTCCCAGCCCATAGGTCCATCTGCCTCTCTACCTGGGGAGACTTTCAGTCTTTTCCTCTCTGGGAAGCCCAGGAGCCCCAACCCCTGTCTAGGGCTTGCTCTCTCCCTCTCCTCCAGTCTTCACTTCCACGGCTCCATTTTCTCCCTCCTGGGAAGACTGACAGACAGGAGTGTCCACATCATTCAGGAAAATTCCCAGCTACCACCCACAGGGGCTGGCCTTTGCAGATTCTTAGAAGACATTATTTCTCAATAATTCATTTCCCTAAGTCTGAGAGATTTGGTTTGGAAAATCCCTTCAGGGGAAGCTTCACCAAGATCCAAGCTGTCTGTGGCCATCCAGCCCACCGTTACAGTCCCCTGTGGGCATGAAGGGAAATTCAGTTTCTGGGGAGGTTCCTGACATGGCCCAGTCTCCATTATGAGATGTCCTATGGCAAATGTTGAATAATGTCACATAGAACATACTTCTCAGGAATAAAAGATACTTTTTTAGAGCTAGAATTTATGAAATCTATAACAGAAAAGAAACTTTTTTTTCTAACAGACCAGAAAGAATATTATAAGACTAATTAAAACAATATGGAATTGATATAGGAAAAAACAGTGCAAATGGAACAAAAAAAGAGAGCTTAGAACCAGACCGATGCATTTGGGAAGTAAGTATATGACAGATCTCTACAAATAGGATAAACTATTCAATATACGCTTCTGGGGATAACTGGTAACTGGGAAAAGATCAAAAATTAACTTTTTTCCTCACATTATTAACCAAAAGATTCAGAGATCTAAATGTAAAAACAAAAACCTACAAAGCATAGAGAGAAAAATATAAGAAAATATTTTCCGACCTTGGGGAAGAGAAGGTCTTCTTAAGCGAGACTCAAAAAACAAAAGGCCTCAAGGAAAAGTCAGATACATCAACTACGTCCAAATGAAAAAAAATGTGTGGGGAAAAGATATCATAAACAAGATTATAAGAAGAAAAGCAACAAGCTGGAATATTACATTATTTTCAAGCAGACAAAAGATCTAAATCAATAAGAAGGTCTAAACATACTGATAACAAATCATCAAAGATACTGACAGCAAGTTAGGGTACAAATACAATAAGCATAAGAAAAAATGCACAAAAATACACTAGAAATGAGGGAAATGCAAATTAAGTACGATGTTTTTTACTCATAATATTAGCCAAAATTAAAATGTTTGGAAATGTTGAGCGCTGATAAGAGCATGAAAAAATGGACACATGTCTATAGTGCCAGTGGGAGTATAAATTAGTCAGCTACTTCAGAAGATGATTTGGCAGAATTATTAAAATTGAAAATGTACATACTCAGCAATTCTACTTCTGAGAAGAAATATTCCCTCATGTGCCAGGAAGCATATATAAAAATAAAGATGTTGACCACCCTATTTTTTATAAAAACTGAAAACATCAATAAGATAATAGATTCTGGAACATTTCATGGAATACTATGCAGCAGTTAAAAAGAATGAGGTATTTCCACATGTAATGATATGTGATAGCATATGTGAAAAAAGTTATAGAAAGATGTCCACAAAATGATGTATTCACATTAAACAGAAAAAAAAAAAAAACCCACATACAGCAATGTCATCTATACCTGCAACAACAGATACATACAGTATTAATGTATAGAAGATGGTATGAAAAAATGCCTTCAGACCTGGGGGTAGGGGAGTGACCACCTTTGAAGAAGATTCTGAAAGAGAATTTCTCCCTTATTTCTATTGTTTCACTATCTCATGAGAAGACATATATGCATGATTTTTAGAATTCAGTATCAAGTTTCTTTTACAGAAGAAAAGAAATAAATTTTTCAAAGAAAAAAATTTGCAGAAACCCCACACTGCTTAATATTAAAACAACTATACATTGACATGCAAAGGTGGCTTTTTCTGCAACCAAACCGGATTTTGCAGTTCCTCTGCATAACCAAATGGTCTTTTAGGGTCTTTCCTGAACAAAGGGATATTTACCCTAGCGTGATGTCCATGTCAGGAGGACATTTTGGGCAGAAGTTTCAGACAGATTGAATGCAGGCAGCAGCTCCAGGCAATGGAGAGCAGAGCTTTAGTTTCCTCGCTAAGCAGAAGAACGTTTGTCAGAAGCAACCACGTGAGCCACTCCTAGCATCGGTGTCAGCCTGTTTGCAACTGGCAGCTGCTGTCTATACGATGCATTGCAACTAAAGTAATAATCATAGTGAACATTTACTGATTGTCCGCTGTGTGCCAGGCCCTATGCTGGGGCTCAGTACCCAGCATCTCACCTAATTCTCACAACAATCCCAAGAGAAGAGCCTTAGTACCCATTTAACAGATGAGGAAACTGAAGTTCAGATGGACTAAGGCAGGTTCTCAAGCAAAGGACTGAAGGGCAATTCTAATTCACACTGCCTCTCCAACCACATAAGTTTGGAGAAGTGGGTGGGCTCTGCTCCAATTAATATGTGTACATTAATGTTAAATCTATTTATACTTAGGTTAAGGGCCAAAAGTGATTTCTACAATGATTCTAAAGAGAAGCTATCATTTCACCTGCCTAACCCTTGAGCAAGGGCAGAGGTTAACAAAGGAGCTGGACCTGCCACATTCTGGGGAACAGAGGTATCCTCAATCTGCAGCAGCAGAGCAGTTCCAGGAAACCCAAGTAACCAAAGTCACAGATGAATCTGACAGGGGATTTAAAGGCAGCTTTGCTTTGAGATAACACACTCCCATTTCAGCTTTGCTGTCCCAGTCAGAAAGCAAATTTTAAGTTCTCTGTAGTTTTATTTATTAATAGAATCCATATTTATCCAGACCTGGCACATGGCTAGGGCCTGATTTTGAAACCAATAAGCAAATGCCTGAATTCCTATTTTCTTCCCTACTCCTGCTGCTATTAGGGGTTTTTTATCCTAGTCCTGTTTTTAATCCGTTAGCATATGAAGGGCAGGAAAGAGGCAGGCAAAGTTAGGCTAGGTAGATGGCACACCTGCCCTCCAGATGCTGAGAGCTCTTATAAAAGGTAACAATGTATGCAACAAATTTCCCCCTAAATTACAATTCTCAGACAGAGTGGGTTACGGAAATAAATTTAGAGAGAAGAGTGGCAGATGGGATAGATGGATTCAATTAAAGCAAAAAACATCAAACAATTCCTGGGATGCCTCATTTTAATGGAACATGTCATTTTCTCCTTGTTGCCTCCAGGTAACTCCCAACACAGTCTAGGTAGGAAGGAGGGTGCTCAGACAGCGCCTCAGCCCCAGCAGAGTGTAATATCCTCAAATGAGAGAGCTAATATTCCCTCTTCTCTTCTTTTCAGTAATGTGGTGAAACAGCACATGAATCAGACTAAGTGAATGCAGGATACATATTAGATGCACATTTCTACAGAACCAGGTGTTATTTAAATTAAATAGGTATTTTCCATTGTCATCTCCCTAGAACAGATTTCTTTATTGGGTCTATGGGAGAGTCTCCTTTTTAATTAAACCAACCACTCTGTCATTTTTCTAAGAAAGATAATAAAACAATAAAAATATTTATATCCCTTTTATCTCCCTAAACATTAATCATGAAGGGAAGAGTGTGTTATGTCTTTGCTAGATAGTTTTATCACACAGACATTATACTAACGTGCTTTAAATTACTGTTTTACAGGTCACTTTGTTCCTATTAAGAATGCATAAGATTCCTGTTGCCTCTAACAGTATTGGTAATTATTTACTACCAAAAGGAATTCAAATCTGCAATAAATTTGCCACATAAACAGCTGATATATGAGTATAGATGTGTACATAATAATACATATGTACTATGTTGACCCAAACATTACTTCCAACTGACCTCAATTTTCATCCAGAGTCAAGTGTAAAAGTCTAGAAGTGTGATGAGCAATTCTTTCTTTCTCCTCTGGCTCGCAATTATGCAATTTAATTGACAGTGACGTTATCCAACAAAGTCATAGGTGGGTTACAGTTTCACAAAGTTAGTATTATTATCTCTACAGTCAGTGGAGAAACTGTGGAAGGCTTAAAGTAGAAACTCCACAATTGTACTCCATAAGTCTAACTGCAACAATGTATTTATACTCTGATTATCAATTAAACATGGTAATGCATCCAAAGTCGTCTTTTGCAGAGATGCTAAATCACTTTTAGATTCCAGTCCATACTTTATTATGCTGCAAACGAAAATCTTCCCAACTAGAAGAGAATACTGTTTAGGCTGTCACTCTGTCTTCAGGGCCCCATGTAATACCTCCAACTTGAGAGGCTCGGCTGGGGAAATAAACTAAGGTTAAATGGGAACCAGTAACTTGTTTCCCTGCCACCGAGGTGCCCTCACTCCCCCTGATGATAAGCCACCTTTGATTTTTCTAGTGGTTTATACTGGCTCCTAGGAGAGGAGGCAGAATCTGGAAGCTCAAGTCACTGACTCCAGCAAGTGGGCTCACTCACGCGGCTCTGGCAGGAGGCATCTCCTCCTGGGCTGCTGGACTGAGGGCCTGAGATCATCACTGACCATTGGCCAGAAGCTTCCCTCAGTTCCCTGCCATACAGGCCTCTCCTCGGGGCAGCTTACAACACGGTAGTGGGCTTCCCTTAGAGTAAGCCAGGGAGAGGAAGAAAGAACAAGAGAGAGAGAAGGCACAGTCTTTCTGTAACCTAACCTCAGAAGTGACACCCCATCACTTTTGCTATAGTCTATTTGTTAGAAGGAAATGACTAAGTCCAGCCCACACTAAAGAGGAGGGGATCACACAGGGCATGAACACCAGGAGGTGGGGGTTGTTGGGGGACCATCTTAGAGGCTGCCTACACCATCCTTGCACACACAACAATAAAGGAATAAACACCAAAATGGGTAATAAATAGAGGGAAAATAGTAAGGCAGAAGGGGAAGGAGAAAATGTTCCAGCATCTAATTAATTATGCCTCTGAGCTCGCTCTCTCCCAAAATCCAGCCAAACAACACACGCGCTGATGGGGTGCTTTCTTCATGGGGTCTCTCACACCTGTCTCCTCTCCACCTGCATGGCACCACCAAAGTTCAGCCTTTCATCTCTTCACATCATGAATACTGCAGCACTACTTTGCTAACCAGCCTCCATACTCCAATATGTCCCAGACACCACAGCTAGAGAGATGATCTTTCTAAGTCACACTTTTAACTTACCTTTACAGTGCAGAAAGCCCTCCAGTGGCTCCCCATTGTCAAACAAAATCCAGACTCTTTAGGCTGCCATGCAGTGCCTTCCATAATTTGACCAGGCCTGGCTCTCCAAACTCATCATCCCCAAGCCCCCAGAAACAACTCACCCTCCCAGGTAAACCACACTCAACACCCAACCACACCATGTTTAAGCTCAGCTTGAAGCCTCTGCTAACATCATTACTCTCCCTCCCGCAGTAAGACCAGTTCACCTTACCTTTATAAATTCTTCCTAACTTCCAAGATGCAGAACAGATCCCATCTTCTCTATGACACATCTTCCGATCACTCCTAACTAGATTCCAGTTCCCCGTATGAACAGGCTCAGCCCTGAGAATCCACACCACTTACTCTCCCCGCCAGTCCCTGTGTATGTGTCGTGTTTTCCCAAAGAGTTGCTAAGTCTCGCCTCTCCCTTCTTCCACAGACCACCAGGCTGCATCTCTGTGAGGGCTGGGAGGGGTCTCATGTGCCTTCCTCTCCTGTGGGTGGCTGCTCTATGACAGGCAATGTTTGTTGACAAGATGGATGGATGGATGAGAATGTCAAGCATAGGGTGCACCATATCAACAGAGGTCAAAAAGTAATAAGTATTTGTTAACACCACCAGTCCTTAATATGGGAATTCTCCACTCAGTGGCACCTTACCTATGCAGGAACCCTTCCCAAGAGAGCAAAGACAAATAAGATTTATTTGGGTCCACCATAAGCCCATCCCCACACACATTACAACTGAAGGCAAACGCTTAGCTCCGCCTCCATCACCTGTCCTAACACTGGCTGTGAGGTGGGTACAGGGTGCCCAGCGCAAGGGCATTGGACGGCACAGCCAGGGCAGAGCTCAGTACCAAGCAACGCCAGTGCGCTTCAGCTCTGGGCAAACGAGCCCTTGTGAAGCGCAGTGGTGAGAACTCAAAGAGTGCTGGGAAGGAGGCAAAACATATCGGTGGTGTGCGGGGTGTCCGTGTATTTTAGGTAATTCCTAGTAAACGAAACGATTTTCTTAAAAAGAAATCACAGAGGACCGTATAGGGCCTTTGTTGTCTAGCCGTTAGGGACGGGATGGGAATCTCAACTAAAGCACCAAACGTTCAAAATCCAGAGGAAATCTAGCGCTCTCCCTCTAGCTGGCGAGAACAGTTAAGCCTGAAGTGGATCCTCCCGGGAGTCAGATTCCCCGCCATGGGTCGCCTGCGCTAACCCGGGCCATGCTCGTGTCACGGTGGGGAGCGCTGGAAACTGTGGTGGGGCCAGGCCCGCCAGCACCATCTTCCAAGAGCCGGGGATTCGCTCCCTGGAGCAAAGTCTACCCAGTGGTTCCCTGAGAGCCAGAAACGAGCATCGCGCAGGGAATCGGGGGCACCGGGGCCCTGAGTTTTGAGTTTTGCATGCCCCGCAGCCTGAAGGGGAGGACAGCGCCTCTCGCTCCAAACTCACCTGCTTTTTAGAACCGCTTCCATCCACCCATCGGCTTCGGCTCCCAGAGGCATCCGCACAATCTCCACGGTCCAAGGTCCACCAGGAAAGAGAAAAAAGGGTGAAGGGAGTGGGGGCCAGGAGGCAAAGTCACCAGGGTCCCCTCCCTGGCTTTGGAGCGGATGTGCGACCTGCTCGTATCCTCCCCACGAAGCCTTCGGGATCCCCGCGGGGGCGCCTCGCCCTGGGTGCCGGGGACCCGGGGATGGAGGGACACGCGGGAAGGGCTGCAGGCAAAAACTTTCGGTCCTCCAGCGGCAACTCTGCAGCAAGACCACCCGTCCTTCGGCCCCGGCTCGTGCCTCTCCGCGCGCCCCAGGCGCGCACGCCC